TAGCTGTGTTTATGCTTAAGGTAATTTTCAAATACTTAATGTATTCTAATAGATTCTTATTTAGTGAGCGTAATTCGTGTAAGTGCAGCAATAGCATTACTAATTTGAACATACAAGACCTCCCTACAAAATCTAAGATTTTATCCTTTCCTAACTGAACATTCTACTACCATCACCATCACCCTCTGGGAAAAAAAGAGCCATATAATTAAAGGTTTTGATACTTAACAGAATACATTTCAACTATCTGGAAAATTTATTCATCTATAATAAATTCCCTAACATTATTGAATAGCACAGACCTTGCCATATTTCTTTACTTTTTTTCATTATTTGTAACTGCCTCCCAGGGACTTAAACAGGCAATATGAATGATATGTCCTACAATGAAACCCCAAACTACAACCACAGAATCTTTAGAGTTGAAAAGAACCTACCAATTTAATCCTTTCCGCCCACTATAGGAATTCCATCTGTGACACATCTGAACCATTCCATTACTTACTTTAAGTCAAAGAGCTTCATTCCAAACATCTTTCTATCTACAGGATAAATGCTTTTCTGTGACTTCCACTTAGTAGGACTAATTCTGACCTCTAAAGTCCTTCAAATGTTTAAAGATAATGATCAGGTTTACCTTTAGGGTATTTGCTATCATCTTAAACACACAGTCTTAGAAAAGAATGTCCAAAACATTTTTGGAAGCAATAGCTATTTCAGTTTACTTTTTTTGTTTAGGGGTTCTTTTGTCCTCTGGTAATGGACAAACTATTTGCCAAAAAAGCCAGAAAACATGAGATACACGGTCTTGTCCACTTAAAGGTTCTAAAGCAAGTTTTTGCCTCAACAGTAAGGTAGATTTTTGAAGGTGGGGGATGGAAGGGCCCTCAGTGTAAGGAGAAATCATTTAGTACAGTATTTTATTGTTATATATTACAATGCCTTAACACACTCTGAAGTAAAATGAAAGTGGTCAAGACTGCATATAATGGAGTCAAATTCGATTTGAATCCAGAATGGCCACTGGCTGTCTCCACACTCGCTGTGTGACTTTGAGTATATCACTTAACTTCTCTGTACCTCAATTTCCTCCCATGGAAATTGAAGGAAATAACTGTATCCAAATAACAGGATTATTTTAAGTGTGTTAATTAACTTAAGCATTTAGAACAGTGCTTGGCACAAAGTCAGTGCTATGTGTTATTATAATTTTTGCTGTTACTATGCACCTACTTTAAATTGAATATTATGGCAATATATGCAATAAAAATAGATATTTTAACTACCTTGATTCAAATTTTTCCAGATCTCCATTAGAACCTTACTTTTATATGATACTTTAGCAACCTTACAATGGCAAACTATTCAGCCACTCAAATTCATTTTAAGAAAAATGTTTAATGATAATGAAAGATGTCTATAATATGTTAATCAGGTCAAAAAAGGAAGTTGCCAAACAGCATAAACTATATGATCCAAATTTTGTTTCTTAAAAATGTAAAAATATGTAAGTGGAGGACAGGGGAGAGACAGACAACAGATGTCACTGGAAACTTATACAACAAAATGTCAAAAGAAGTATCTTTTGGTAGTGTTATTGCAGGTAACTTAATTTTCAAGTGTTTGTTTTCTATATGTTCCAATTTTTAAATACTAACCATGTATTAATTGTTTTAATGAGAAAAAAATCCAGTATTTTAAAATGTGCTTTACATAGGCTGTTCAAATCTGTCTTTCTGTTTTCTTAATTTTTAAAGCTTATAAGTAATGTAAGTTTCTCTACCTTCAGGAAAAAAGTAAAACAAAATTCAAGGTAGTAAGTAAAGTAATAAATTTATCAGAACACAAAAGTCAACATGGAATTCTGTATAATTATGTACATCCTAAAATTCTATTTTCTGCTGCCTGCTATTTCAGCTATCCCATATATTTTTCACTGTTAGAGAACTTCTACATTAAATTTAATTTACATTGTGAGACCATGCAATGCTCCATGTTATTTCAATTTTAACAAAGACAAAAATGAAAGGTTTTGTTACAAAATAGGAGAAAGTTTTGTCATGAGAATAAAAAAATATATAGTACTCTCTCACAACTCCTTTGCTCTAATGAGATGAAAATAAAATAGTATTTTCTCTATGACGTTCTGCAAGTGCTTACATTTAGAAATACTTGCTGTAGCTTCTCACCTTTTTTTCTATTGTCTAGTGATAAAATTCTAGAGTCAGTTATGTATATAAGAAATGTCATCAGCACTGTTTTTAAAGACTGACACAGACTTCAGGTTGCTTACTTTAAGACATTTGAAATTATAACCACAACCATCCCACCCTCAGTTAGGGAATAAGAAAAAGCAAGGCTTAGAAATATTCTTTATACAGCCAACATTCTCACTGAAGCTTTCTAGAGTCCTAAATAGTGCCAATGAGGATTTTCACAGGAGATAAAAGGTATCTTGTTTTGACTACAACAAAATGTACCTTATTTTTAATAAACAAAATTACATCACTTAATCATTTTTTAATCTCTTAGCTTCTATACATATTTACCAATAGTCAAAAAGGAAATTATTGCAATTAAGAGTTATAAAAACCTAAGAAAAAATTTCTTTCCATACAACCTAGGAATACACCATAATAATTTAAGAATTCCTTATTAATATAGCATTTTGGCTATGTAGTAACAATAACAATCTGGAACATGCCAAAATTACATAGGCAAAAAACTTTTAAGCTGTCAAAATTTGTTATAAATTACACATATGAAATCATTTGAATTTCACCTATTTAGAGTGACATAATAACTCAGTATATATAAAATCTATAAGCAATCCATAAGTCAAAATCATAATAGTAATCACCTATCGTCTCTACCAATCCATCTCTATTCTTCATCCCCACAATCAGCAACTCCAGAATATTACTCTTAACAGTAAGAAATAATAGGAAACTTGAGAACTTTCAAAGAAGTATTTCAGATTGCCCTTTATCAGCACTTGAATATGTCACAAAAAGAACAGGTTGGCAAAACAAAACAAACTCAGACAAAAAAGTGAGTAGATTTAAATAAAGCCTGATGAGTTTATCAGTATAGAATATGATTTATTAAAAGTTGCTTACGATGGATTGGAAAACAATTTCTCTCAGCTAGTACTACCCATTTGGTAATATTAGGAACTACTTATTTATAATTACCTTCCAATCATTTCAAATCTATAAAAGGGAGTCTTTACTGCTTTGTAAAGCCAACAGAACATGCTTAGTAAAAACATGAATTAAAAACAAAACAAAACTAAAATGATGACAAAGCCTTAGAAAAATAAAATTCAGAAAAGTAATGTTAACAAACTTCAGACTTCATAACTTCAATTATATACTAGACAAAATGATTAGTCAAACTAGTCAGAAATTCACCTGTACAGTAAATAGATGACCCTCGGTTCAAATCAGGTGTTTCCTAGGGTCCTTCTAATTAAGATATGTGATCTTCCAGTAGAGGGAGCAAAATCATAACATTCTATGCAGACCACAAGAAGGGGAGGGGAAGGTTTACAAAATGCCTTAAAGTATCTTAAAATCAATTTTGACGTTTCAAAAGAAATACTGAAAATAGTATTTGAAACAGAACTAAAATCAACCCAAATAAAAGATAAAGATTTTATCTTTTTCAAACATTTCAAGACTTTGAAATGAAAAAATGGTCCCTAAATATTTAATTTCAAGAAATATGGTATATTTCATTGTCTACCAAATCTCACAGGTAACCAAGGTATTGAAGCATTTTACAAATCCTTAATTTAATAAGATTTCAGAAAAATATAAGATATTACATTAAATACAATTTTTATTATAAAAGTAGTATTTTACCATGAAAAGAACAGAGAGTGAATTACAATTAATTATACTACCCTAAACATATTTTCATACTGCTATGAAAAGAAAACATAATTACAATAATGTTTACTAAGTGCTTACTATACCCTAGGCACAGTTCTAAGCACTTTTACATTATAACTCTTTTCATCTTTACCAAAGCCCTATTAGGTAGATACCTAATATAGCCTATTAGGTATATAATAAAAATTATACAACTAGCTAAAAGCCACGCATCTAATATGTAACAGGAGCCAAGAGCTAAAACCCAAGTAGTCTGATACCAAAGCCCAAACTGTTAATCATTTTACTGTGATCATAATTTTGAATTATGCTTTTCCCGTCAGTAACATATTCCCAGTGTTGATCTTCAGGTCTTTTCAATGCCTATAACAGTTTGTCATGGGTATGATAACAAATTATACTCTTTCCAGTTGTCCCTTATAGATAAAATAATATAAATATTTTTGGATATATTACTTTTGCTATTTGGGGATTACTATAATAAAGTATTTTTATATCCCAAAATACCACGACCAAATTGTTTTCCAATATATTTGTATCAATTAACAAAGCTATGTAAGCTCCAATTTCACCATAAATTTGCCATCATTAATATTAAAATTTTTTTCCTAACAGGTAAACAGGAAACCACACTGCAAATTTAATCATTAAGGTTGCATATTATTCTGAATGTTGTGTTTACAAATTCAATTTCATCTTTTGTGAATTTCAGCTCATATGCTTTATCTAGTTATCAACTAAGATCTTAAGTTTATCAATTTATATGAGCTTTTTAGAGCAATACTAACTCTATGCTCATCATATTTGCAAAAAATGTTCCTATTGTTTCCCTTACTTAAGTTTTTGCTTTTGATAATAGATCTTTTAAAGACAATCAAAATTCAGTTACAAAGAAGTTCTTAAAAACTTACAATTTTCTAAATATAGAAATAGTCTACTGCTTTGGGTGCATCAATGAATCATTTCCACAATATAAAACCAATGGAAACCTATGCCCAAATATACATATTAGCAGAATTGCTGAAAATCTTGAATGTCTCATGTAAAATTAACTCAAAGAGTAAAAGCTGACCCTACCAAAACACCAAAATAAAAGATACATACCTGTCTCTGTAAGTACAGGCGATTTCTGTCATGAAAATGTTGATGATTAGGAAGTGATGAATGCCAAGTCCGAGCCTGACCATGTAACTGAGTTTGAGCCAAATCAGAAGGCCGCGTTACAAGATGCGAAGTAAACTGCCGATCAAGGTCATGATCTAAAACATGACTTGAATTATCTTGCCCAAATGTTGACTCATCAAATTGGGGCAGGAGATCCTCCTGAAGGAGGTCCTCTGGATCAAGTCCTGTGAATGGCTCAGTTTGAGATTCTACCTGATGAAGTAAATTCTCTTCTAAAGATGAAAAGCCATTAGTTTCTACATGATCACTGAAATGGCCCATTTGGCTTCCTGAATCAACAGGATCTGGGAAGTTCATGTGCACAGGAGATAATTTTGAATTGCTGTAATTACCCTGAGGATGTGATGAATGCAACATTTGAAAATTATTTGAATTGAGTGACGTATTGGGATTTAGCATAGGCTGAGTGGATTCTTGCTTCATTCCCCTACGAAGTGAAAAGGAATTACTTCCAGGAAAATCAGGTAAAGTCTGATTTGTATGATTAGGTCCAAGAACTGCAGAGGGCTGGAGGAGACTATTTGGTGATACATGATTACTGGAAAAGGAATAGTGGGAAGAAAACTGCTGTGAATTACTGACAGAACAAGAAGTCATATTTGGAGAAGGTCCATTAAAATTTCCTTCCTGACGACTGCCACACTTGAGGAAGTGTACTGAAGGATTTGGCGTCTGCGAAAACTGCTGCCTCGAAAGAGACTGTTGTGAAGTAGATGCATTAGAAATTTGTGGCGGGTGGTTAACACTGACTCTGTGTGGACCAGAAACATTAACATCCATAAAATTTTTAGACTGGCCTAGAGAACTATGCCCTGGGTTAAGATTATTTCGGTTTTGTTGTGAGTGAAGTGAAGTGCACTGTGTTTGTTGTTCATTGGCCTGAAATGAGGCAAAATCATGGTGTGCCACAAAGCTTTTACTGTGATGCATAGAGTGAGAATGTCCTTGTTGGTGAAAAGGAGACCTATTTTGATTTGAAATGCTAGTAGCTGTCTGATGGCCCCACATTGGACTACCATCTCCTACATCTGGAAACAAACCATTGGGTTGGTTTTGGGGGTGGACTGGAGAACAATTAAACTGAGGGTGTGGAGATAACACATGTTCAGCTGGGCTACCAAAAGACTGATTAACTGGATGAAATTTCATTGAATCAAACTGATTTAACTGCTCATAATCAGTCATTTTCTGATGTGTTGGAGTACCCTGAACATGGTTCAGTGAGTCTATGTGCAAAGGTTCAAATTCTGCACCCAAGTTCAATTCATCGACTAGTGAAACAGGTCCTGGTTGTACAAATGCATCATCTGACAAACCTTCTAAGGTTTCACCAAAAAGATTGGCATCATCAAAAAAGTCCATCATTGGATCTGTCATCTTGGAAAATTCAGGAACAATCTGGGCTGTTCACTCCAAATAGACTATACTCAGCTTCTTTGTAATAGGTATTACCGGATCATTTCCAAAGGTCATCAACTAATCCAAAACAGGTCAACGTTCATTATTGCTCTAGATAATGACATATCATGAAGTGTCGGAATCCTAGAGAAATAAAAAAAGCGATTAAGGCTTAATAATGAGTAGTCATCAAAGTTCTACAAACAAAGCTTACATATAACTTAAAAACAAAATCTCAGTGTATTGTACTTTTTGGTAGGGTAACTCAATGCAAATAGCTAATATTCTCCACAAGGAAAAAAAGTGCTGGTGCAGGGGACATGACTATATAGATTTAAAATGAAGGCAATTTCTTTCATTTGTTTTGAAGTTCATATATTAGGATGACAGAATGTAAAGTAAACTTGAGAATGGTATGCCACAATCTCTCCCATACCATGAAGTGGCCATCACTCCCCAGAAGCTGTGGCATGTATAAAACAGATGTATTACACTTCATAGTTATGTCTTGTTAAGATAGCTGACTTAAAGTCCTCTGATAAGTGTCATGATCTTCTGCTCTAGATCTCTTGAACAGATAAATCTATTACTTCATACGGTATATGTGAAAATGCATCAAGAAGAAGAATATGAGGTCATGACAAGCTGGACCAAAAAGAGACCAGTTAGCCATCTAGTCATCTGACAGAAAACAGACATGTGGTATGTTGGGAATGAATGTCCCAACATATTGCTACCATGGTCCTTTTGCTCATCTACCACATTAGATAAGCCCTCCTAGCAGCCAACTGATTTAAACATCTGTGCAGTAAAAGCAAGCACCTTTGTACAGTTATACAGTCATTATTCTGTGCTGAAGCATATCTCCCTAAATCATTTGAAATACATAAGTTGCTTATTTTATTTACTAAACTGTGTAAATGTGTACTGATAATAAAGCTGAGGCAGAAACAAACAGTAGCTTGAGCTAAGCAATAATTAAGTTTTCAGATAGCCTCAAGAAAATACTATTTATAAGCATGTGCATATACACACAAAAAAATTTATGTGTGGAAAGGATCTAATAGGTTACTAATATGCAGAAATAGCTGGCCAATTTTTTTTTAGGCTTCTACTATTGTAACACACATTTTAACAACTGTTTATGGTTCTGTGCCCCACCCCCAACTGTCTTGAACAGAAATCACAAAAGAGGGTTCCTGCTTTTCTAAGTATTAGTTTATTTAAAAATTAACACAGGCCTAAGAAGCTTTACCAGAACTTCTATTTTGGAAGGTCCATTTTAGGAAAAATAAATTTTCTAAACAAAATATCTTCTATTTAAATGCAGAAATATTTCTGAAAAATTCTGAGACATAAAAACCACCTAATTGTATATTAATTTTTAACTAGAAATTAACTTACTACTAATGACATCGGTAGCTAAGTGTTTTAACACATATATGATTTTAGAAAAAGTAAAATACAGAAATAAAGAAAAAATTATTTTCCCAGCCTTTATAACTGTGACACCAAGCAGATAGAGGGCTATGTGTTCTGAACTAAATAAAACCATTAAGTAAAAAAATATAAGGTGGTTAAATCACTTCCCTAGAACAAATTCAACTTCAGACTTTAGAATAGGAAGTGCATCTATGACTACCCAAACCATTAATCAAGAAAGCAATTTCTTATGTTTTTATATGGATATATGATTATTTATCAAGGAACATAAAAAGAAATACCATGGAAGTTACTGAATCCAGTATCATCAAATGTAAAGTACATCATTAGTCGAAATAACATGAAGAAAAAGCATGCTGCCAATTAAGCAAGGACACACCACTTCAAATTTTTTATGTTAAATGATGAAATAACTTTGTAAAACATTTTTAGACTAGACTTATTTATTCCAAAGGATTTAATAATTTCTTCTGACTTGAGGCACTCTGATCCATAAAACACTTGTTGCTCTGCAAGAAAATGTGGAATTGCTGTCATTTCAATAAACATTTGCTTCATTAATATTAAATTTATGCTCTGTACACTGTTTCTGTGCTTCTCTGCATAATCAGTAACTTTTTGGTTAAATGCTGAAACACAGTATATCTTTTTAAAGACATTTTAAATGATAATTAAACACATGTAGTACTAATGTACATAGCCCAACTAAAGGCAATGTGAGCAGCTCTAAGTCTGCAAATGCACAGGCAATGACAATTGCTCCATGACAGCCACCTGGCAAACAGTGATTGACACATATCCTGATTTTAGAGATATTAAAAGTGGAAAGAATATGCATCCTAGAACTGATTAAAGCAATTTGTTGAATATTTAGAATGTATTACTTTGAACTTAAAATATGAATATAAAACATCTTGAATTTATACTTATTTACTATAGGCTTATGTGTATTTTATTCTTAAAAAGTAGTTTAATAATTTTTAGAAGACTGTTTAGGAAGTAAGTTTATGATATATAGCAGAGCAGTAATATTCCACACAGGAGAGAACTAGTATATTCTTTGAATTTTTGTATGTTATGGTAGATTAGACCTAAAGAAGAGTGTTCTCTATATTTATGTAACTTGAGGCTTACCTAAAATATGGGCAGAAGTAGAAATCTGAATTAAGAAAACAATTTTGCTATTTATTCCTCCAATAAACATTTATTGATAGAAAACTTCCAGACACTAAGATGATGAAAAATAACTGACCTCTGGAGGATATATAGACAAGTATACCACTACAATGCACGTTATTTGTGCTTTCTTAAAAGTTAGTACAGAGGAGGAACATCTAATGATAAAGAAAAGGAATATAGACACCAATACTATACTAACATACACATTTCTTATGTGACAAGATATATGTAAGTAGTCAACTTTAGTTACAAAAATAGAGACGAAAGGTGAACTATGAAAAACATGTCCATAAAATCTAATGCAACCAAATTTCTGAAAGTTTATTCTACAACTAACATAACGCTCATTTAAGTTCGTCTTTAATAGCTATTGTCTTAACTCATTCTAGTAAATGTCTGTACCATTCAACTTTATAAAAACATGGTCTCAATATAATTTTAACTTATTATTTAATTAAGAAAATATTTATTGTTAGGCTGGAGGAAGGAAAAACAAGGACATGCAAACAGAACAGAGAGATACCATAAAAGGAGAACAGACCAAACCCCTAGGTCCGTGCCTTATATGGAAAGGGGACAGCTCTTCCTGAATTCCATCCTTCTGATGTGCCAACTAAGACCGGGATGTTATCCTCCTCCCTCTTGGAAGGAAATAAAGTTTCTAGTTGTCTATTATGTCACCTTTAGCCAATCATACCTCTCCACACCTCCTAGGATAGCTTGCCCACTCCTCCCCCTCCTAACCCCTTATAAGTCCCCACCTCCCTCACCAAGTGTGACTTCCCCAGCCTGTAATACCCAGACCAGAGAACATCACCTGGGAATTGTGCTCAAATAAACTGCCTGGCCCTTTGTTGCCTCCCGTCGCCTGCTTATTTCGGTTGAAATTTACCTTACATTTTAGAATTTGTCTTACATTTATGGACTGTCCATTACATCCAAAGCAACTCTGTAGGAACTACAAAAGCCCCTGCCCTCAGAAAGTTCATAATCTAAATGGGGGAGGGAGAGGGTATGGCACAAGAAAACTCACCATATATTGAATAACATATAGTAAATGTGGCCTAAGAGAGGCACAAGTTCATCTATAAGGTAATTTATAAAGAGAAGAGAGCATACTTGGCTAGGTATTCAGGAAAAGATTCTTGGAACAGTTAGCATTTGAGGAGGTCTTATAAAAGTACTGGATAGGAAGGCCAAGGAAAGAATTCAGGAATAAAGAAATGGAATCAAGGAGCTAAGTACATGTTTAGGGAACAGAATGTCCATTGCAGAGGGAATACAAAGGGAGCAAAATAGAAAAGAAAGCATAAGTTGAAGCACTGCTGTAGGGGACCTTCTCAAATACATTAAAATAATATATTCGGGGGCCAGAATTCATTTAAGACTGAGACAAGTATTTAGAATCAAATTACTTATCTATCTTCATTTCTACATTTATCTGATGCCAATGACATAATGATCACACAAAATGAATTCGATTATCAATAGGACAGAATTCCTGCCTTCAAATAATTCAAACTCCAGAGGGAAAGGAAGCACATAAACAAATGGTTACATAAGATTGGGCAGAAATATATACAAAGCACTGTATTATGGTAGCACAGATTAGATAGCAATTAATTATGTCTAGAACAGATCAGGAAAAGCATTAAGATGAGGTAACATTTGAACTGGGCCTTACGAGTAAATATAAGATCACTGAACATGTGTTCTATAACAGGATTAATACACATAAACTGGTAAATTGACTTTTCTCAAAGTGTAATACTTCCTTTCTCTCCAAGACATTTCTATATTCTCCAAATAAGTCCTTCAATATTTTCTACTAAATGATTTAGTCTTTCCAGGAAATTCTATACATTAATGTTTCATCCTGTTAGGCAGGAAAACAGATATGAGCAGAGTGGAAAGAGAAAAAAGCCAGAGAAGTCCACTAAAAAAACCCAGAGTTAATCAATTAAAGCTCAAAAGCCATGAGCAACTTGGCCTGGAATGTTTGCCTATTCCTCAGATAAAGGAGGGTACCTCTGCATAGCCCATGTCTTTATTATGTTAATCATACAGGTCCAGCTTATTTTTTAACTTTACCTAAATGCTATTTTTTTTCTCTTTCCGGCCCTAATCAAGTAGTTTGTAAACTAGGCAACTAATTTATCATGCAGGCCCAGCCTTAAACAACATAGTAAAAGGCAGGAGGGAGTCCACCCTAAAGATTGTATTTTAATACCAAAGAAGTTAAGAAGATTTGTAACTTACTCTTTAGCAAACAGACAGTAACTCAGCCCACCTTGGGGGCTGGGCAGACAGCCTTGTTTGCTATGCTCCCAAACCAAGACTCTGGAGAAATCAGAGCAGGAAGCTGCTTGTGTTATTAAGTTAATTGTAAGTATTCAAAGACCACTTAACAAGTCTGCACCTTCAGCCCTTAAGACATATTCTTAAAGAATTCTCAAAAGGGGAACTCCCAACCTTTCCTGGCACTCCTCTCTCTGAGGTTGCCAGCACTTTCTAAGTGTGTA